GCCGCATTATTCGCCTCGCCGCTCGGCATCTTGCCCGCCTTCGCCACCTCGGTCTCGGCCCCCGCGCGCGGAAATGGAGCTCGGCCTCGCCTCCTCCCGCGGCCCGGCCGGCCCCTCGCTCGCCGTCGCCGGGCGGCGGCCGCGGCCCTCGCTCTCGCCGCCGCTGCCCTGCCCCCTTTCGCTTCAGGTAGCTGCTTCATCCCTCTCAGGATCGTAATGCGTGGGGCTATATATCAGCTGCTTGTTTTGGATCGCTCTAGGTAGCATTGCGATGCCTTGTCCAATCTGTAAATGCGAGCTTGACTGGCCATTTTCTTGACATGTCCAATGTTCAAGGCAGTGGGTGACTGAATCTGGCAGAATGAGCGGCCAACTAGGATAGCACTGATCATTTCTTGAACAATGCATATCATTTGTTTGTATGGTCCTGCTGGATAACCATTATGCTTGACTTTTTTTGTCATCTGCTGCTTGACTTACAGAACTAGCTGTAAATGTCTTACTCAAAATGTCGTTTTGCCTGCTTGGTTTTGTGTTTCCTTGTAAATCTGCAGAGGGGGGCAGTTCAGGTGGTTTTACTTCTTGTCACCATCCTTGGCATCTCACAGACAGTCCTTTGGTTACATTCTCCTGGTTGCAGATACAGACTCGCGGTTACTCGATGCCGACTCTCCATCACAAGGCCCATACCACAGTAGGATGCCAGGCTTCTGTAGCAGCCAAATACATGTATGCAATTATTTATGTACTACACTATTTTGTTTGGACTAGATTCATGAGTATTCATCTGTCCTTTCTGACGGCTGCTTTGTTCTGACGGTATGATTCTTACCAGGGAAACACCTGACATAGTCGATCTGGACTGGGAAAACCTTGGCTTCGGCCTTGTCGATACCGACTTTATGTACATGGCCAAATGCGGGACAGATGGAAACTTTTCCAGTGGAGAAATCGTGCCTTTTGGACCCATAGCACTAAGCCCGTCTGCTGGAGTCTTAAATTATGGACAGGTTTGTTAACCGGAGGACTTGGAAGACATTATTTCATATATGCGGTGGCATAGCAAGTAGCTATGATAATCTCTGACTGAAATATGTACTCTTTGATGGCCTAAAGGTATCAGACGTGCTTAAACAATTTTTATTCTTGCATGTAGGGACTGTTTGAGGGCCTAAAAGCATATAGGAAAACTGATGGGTCTGTCCTATTATTCCGTCCGGAGGAGAATGCCATAAGGATGAAAAATGGTTCAGATAGGATGTGCATGCCTGCACCGACTGTTGAGCAATTTGTGGATGCAGTGAAGCAAACTGTTCTGGCAAATAAAAGATGGGTAAGTTATTTTTATGTCTTCTCATGCTCATTTCATTGCCCTCTGTACATTCCTATGATCCCCTAACTTCTTCTTTAATGTACTACTGTAAATTTTAGGTGCCTCCTACCGGTAAAGGTTCCTTGTATATCAGGCCGCTACTAATTGGAAGCGGGGCTATTCTTGGTCTTGCACCTGCTCCTGAGTACACCTTCCTTATTTATGTCTCCCCTGTTGGAAATTATTTCAAGGTTTGTACCGAGTTTTTCAGTTCAACAAACATCTAGTCACAAGTACCGTTCTTATCTTCTTGATGATATAGTATAGATGAATGGTAATTATGCCACAAGCATATTTGCACAAGTACAGGCTCATCCCCCATGATCTATCTACTATCCAGAATAGTTTTCATTTTTCCAAATTTATACCATCCTGGATATTGATTAAGTCTGTTAACTTTATTCTACAGGAAGGTTTAGCTCCTATTAACTTGATTATTGAAGATAACTTTCACCGTGCGGCCCCTGGTGGAACTGGAGGCGTGAAAACTATTGGAAACTATGCCTCGGTAACTTTTAACATCGGCATTATTTTTCATTCTTTCGACCTCTGTTGGCATCCTTTTGTAGGAAAAAAGAACCTTTTTGGGCATCATTTGCTTTGGCATTCGCGTGATGCCTTCTCCCCAGTGCCCAAAACTTCTGTGGGTGAAATATGATTGTAGTACTGCAAATGATGAAAATGTACATCTACAACATAATATATACAGCTTTCGAAAGAAAAAATAGAATGATGGAAATTACGTAATAGCTGCTCTTAGTGGTTGACTGGGATTTTTTTCAGTACTAACATTTACACCCCTTATTTTATCATTTACGATTGCTAGGTGTTGGATATTTATACAGACCTCTGTTTTCTATGGTGCTAACTAAATCCTCGGCACATCTTTCTTTTCTCCTTCTCGTTATAAATTGTTGTAAAAGGATATTGTTGGCAAATCTATATTGAAATTGAAGCCGTCGATTCTGTAATGAATTGTTAACTACGCCCACATTGTTTTGACTTTTAAATCTGAAACTATGATCACTTAATTGATAAACTTGTCGTCACCATGTAGGTGTTGAAAGCACAGAGAACTGCAAAGGACAAAGGATATTCTGATGTCCTCTATTTGGATGCCGTTCACAACAAATATCTGGAAGAAGTTTCTTCATGCAATATTTTCGTTGTGAAAGTATGAATCTTCACATGGCAGTTCTTATTTTCTTAAATCTGTTTCAGTATCTGCATTTAAAAGTAGTTTTTGCGACCGAATCCTGTGGGAGCATCCTAGTTATGTACAACTTTTGCCCCCTCTACAAACTAAGCAAGTCTAATGTGGATGATAAGCTACTATGAATCTTTGTTTCAGTAGCCAAATTACAGGATTTATCACCCTCATGTGACCTATCTTTTTCTGAGATTCCAAGTAACTAGGGAAGTGACATGAATATTCCTTTAAGATACAAACCGAATTGATCTGTCAGAAAAAGATGTAAAAACAGTTTGGTCCATCTAGTTTATCTCTCATCTTCCTTGTATAGAACATTGGTCATTATTTTTGCAAGGAGTAATTACTTTTTTTTTTTGAGGACCGAGTGATTACTCATTCTAATTCTGAACTTATACCTGGCTTTATTCTTATCAGTATGCTGTCAAGTTCTTCTTGAAGAATATTATTCACCAAGTTAAGGACTGAAGAAATGTTACTTATATTTGCTATGGTCTTTTGCACCAGGGCAATGCTATTTCCACTCCAGCAATAGAAGGAACGATATTGCCTGGTATCACAAGGAAAAGTATCATCGAAGTTGCCGAGAGCAAAGGCTACAAGGTAAATGTTGGTCACCAAAAATCAACAGTTGATCGGAAGTACTATATGATGCTTCGCTTTATATGGCCTTAGTTAACACAATGTGCTTCATTTAAGGTGGAGGAACGCCATGTGTCTGTAGATGAACTGCTTGATGCAGACGAAGTTTTCTGCACAGGAACAGCTGTTGTGGTTTCACCCGTGGGGAGCATTACCTATAAGGGGAAAAGGTGAAGCTTCTGCTCTGCCTTGAAACTGTCAATTTTTATGGCGTTTAATTTGGCTGTTCAAACACCGACAAATAAGCCATGTACTACTAGAACTCAGACCACCATGCATTTTCTTCTGCTTTTCAGGGTAGAATACGATGGCAACCAAGGAGTCGGCGTGGTGTCACAGCAGCTATACACCTCGCTGACAAGCCTCCAGATGGGTCACACAGAGGATCGGATGGGCTGGACCATGCAACTGAATTAAGTATCGCATCACCGATCTTGGCTCGACAGATTTCCAGAACACTGCTATGGCAGATGAATTAAACTCTTCAACTGGGACCTAGGGGAAGCTAATATGTAATTCTCTTGTTTACCATCAACTAGGATCTTGCAAAAATGGTCAGTCTAGCTGGGCAGCTAGCGAGACTTCCTGAACACGGCACAAGAATATGTGTTTATCCTCTGATTTCTTTTTTCAGAATAATAAACGTTACTCCAAATGTATCGAGTGATGTGAAGCAGTGTTCTTTTCCTATCTTGTATGCTGAGTACAGCTTGAGTGTGCGGCCCTGACCGCTGGGTTACTGAACCAATTTATTGTGATTTCTTGACGTGAAATTGTCTAGCCAAATTAAAATTCGTGTCAACTTTGATTAGTACGGCATTTACTGAAACAGATTGATATTTACTGAAACAAAAGTGTACTATTATTTTATACTGTATTTACCAAGTATTAGAATTATACGTACTAGTACTTATCTAATACTATATTTGCGGAATTTACTTTTTTTGAGCAAAATTTACGGAATTAACTGGAGTATTGGCAGCAAACCTGAGTGCTCGAACTCGCTATTGGGCTAGGACTGACGGAAGGCTTGCCAGCCCAGCCGAACACCCAAACCGGAAGGAGTTCTGTCTGACTTTTGTGCAATATAAAATAGAGGAGGCCCCATGCATTGCTGCTGGAATTGTTTGATAAAATTTTGACTTGATAACATGAGAACTAAACTTAAAATACATGAATTATTATATTTGATTATGCGTAGTTGTAACACTATTTATTGAATATTAGTAGAAAAATTGAATGAAAAACATTTTCCCATGCATGGTAGAACGTTTTGGTGATATGTGTATGCATAGTGACCTGGTTCATGGATGCGGTCGATCTTGATTTTAATTCTGGAGATGCGTCAATTTAAACAAAGTCTAATACACAAATATTAATCGATTGGCTTATTCGTTTTGAACTGAGAAGCGCTTGAAAAGATTATGCATAATTCACAAATCTTGGAGCACTACATTTATTTCTCTTGAAAAGAAATTATAATTAACAATCAATACTAGTCAAGGTACAATATGTGACTGAACAAGAAATTGTTATCAACCAATACTAGTCATAATTGGCAATACAGCACGAGCCAGAACGAAACTACATGATGTAGCATTCCTTGTTCTTCAAGAAGCATATGCAAGTTGATGCCTGCACTATCAAGCGACAGACACATTTCCCTCTTTCACACAGATTATTTAACGGTTAGAACCCAATTTGGGAGGATATTTCTTACAACGTACGATTATTTAATTATTAAGGCAACGCCTAAATTTTCGGTGCATGGATATTTCAGTTGAGCATGTGCTTTAGGACCCCGGGGATGTGGACGCTGTAGAAGTAATCGTCCCAGTCAATGGTCTTGGGGTCGAAATTAAAGAGGCTTCCATGGTTGCTGGTCATGGCGAGCCTGAGCTTGTTTAGGTTGACGTCATCGAAGCAGCCCTTGAACAGCGCGAAGGGCCCATACAGATCCACCAGGTGCATCACGAACCTACAACAATATAACAATAAAGGCCGTGTCATCATATATGCCGCGCCATCAAGAAGATACTCCCTCCGTCCGGAAATACTTGTTATCAAAAATGCCATCCGCAAAAGATTTAAACCGACTAACCTGTACTTGCGTGCTTGGTCGTGGTAGAGGGTGTCGAGGCCGAAGAGGCCACAACAGAGGACGGAGAGCAGGTGGAGGAGCTCAAGGAGGAGGCGGTACCTGAGCATCATAAAGAGGTGGAAGGAAGCCATGCTGCTGAGGAATGTCATCTTATGGGTGCGCACCGTGCGGCCGTCAGGGCCCACCCGAGGGTGCTCCGTGAAGTACCGAAACCCAGCCTCGTGCAGCACATTGTACGGCGCCGGGTTACGCCGCGACGAGCTCACGTGGTACACCGCCGGTGCGTGTGGCTCGGGATGTGACTGTGTCTTCTCCAATGAGGACGAGCTGTGCGCCACGATGGCAGCCATCATCGCATTCACCACCATGTCGCCCGGCATCTGCACCAACATATACCCAACCACACGATTGCATTCACCGCCATCGTTGAAATCCATATCTTACTGTATGGATTCCTGGACTGACAACCAACCATTGCATGCCTGGAATATATGTTAATTAACTGCATGCATAGTGCAACGTTGCTTACCACATCCATGGTGAGGTTGAGGTCCGCCAAGAAGTATGTCAGGTTCTGCTTCGCATAGCCGATCACGATCGTGTCGATCGTCCTGCAATTTACATTTTTACATTGAACAAACATCCTTTATTTACTTGCATTTGCAACAGATTAAAACGATTGCACTTTAAATTTAGAGGCAGGGAAAGGAAAGAGAAGCATATAACGAACCTGGTGCCTTCGATCCATCCGGGCAGTGGGTCGTTCTGGACACTGGTGATGATGCTGGGACGGACGATGACAACAGGGAGATCACACTTCAACTGGCCCAGCACCATCTCCCCCATCGACTTGGTGAACACGTATGTGTTCGGCCACCCGAAGTGCCGGGCCCTGGTGATGCCAAGGTCCTTCATGGCCTTCCTTTGGGACTTGGGCGACGAGTCGGCGTCGGCCTCAAGCTGCTTTTTCAGGTCCTTGGCCAGTTTCAGCTCGGTGTCGATATCGAGGTGGGTCCCCTCGAGCAGCGTCTCGCCATTCTTGAATGGTCTCTCTTGCACGAGTCCTTGCTTCTCACCCGCAACATAAGCTGCACCAACTCATGTATGAATTCATTAACTTGATTTGTAAATCAAATCTAGGTGTACTTTAATTACATCCAAGAACTTCATTTTTGTTTTCCCCAGAAGCATCCAAGTTCATAGTCCATGATGGTAATTTGTAGAGTTGGTGTACGTACCCGTGGAGACATGGAGGAGCACCTTGAGATTGGGGCACTTCTTGGCGAAGTTGCACATATGCTTCACTCCCATCACGTTCACGTCCAGGGCCACATCATACCTGCACGCACACAATTCCACTCCGTACTCTTGCTGCACCTACTCAAGTTCTCTGCTGATTTTTTTTCCTTTCTTGGACAAAACAATCAGTTGACGACGACGCACCTTTCGTAGAAGTTGGTGGTGGCGGCGCCATTAACGATGACATCGAGCTCCTGGGTCACCCGGAGCTCCCTCAGGGTCTCGCTGTCGACGCCAAAGTCCTCACGCATCACATCTCCGGCCAATGGGACGATCTTTTCACAGATGAAAGATTGAAACCAGTCCCCGTGCTTCTCCCTCAGAAGCCCGAACAACTCCTTCCCTACCACCTGGGCACATAGAAAATAAATTATTCAGTACCAACACTCAAGCAAAGGGATCAAAAGAATCATGAGAGCAGTAGAGGTCTAGATCATGAAGAACCATGATGGACAACACTACCTCAGTCTCCACCCGATCCTTCGCCGCCGCGGCATCCACCGCTCGCACCGGGAGATAGATCTTCTTTACATCAGGTTGAACTCTCAGTATCTTCTCCACTAGTACTGCACATATGCACCAACAGTAGAACTAATTAACAGATGAGCACAACACATATCAACTTGACGCAAAAAAAAACTTCTAGAATTTGCAACAAATAGTATATGCATGCGTAATATGTTTGTATAAACATTATGCGTGCATGCATGCATACTCTTTCCAAGAAAGCCTGTTGATCCAGTGATGAGGATGCTCTTGTTCTTGAAGTATCCAATGATCTTCTCTTCACTCAGTGTGTCAACCATCTTGATTTTTTTTCTTGTGTGCGCAAGAGAGAGAGAGAGAGAGAGAGAGAGAGCAGGGAGAGCAGGGAGAGAGAGAGAGAGAGAGGAAGAAGGAGATGATTTGTGTAGGTGAGTGGAAAGAGGCTCCTGTACACAATATTTATACACGGGCCATCAAGGTGTTTTGTCTTGGAGTCTGTTGTTTTGGCAGTTGAACCAGTTGGTTTCATTGTATGAAATTTTTGCTAAGAAAAAAGGGTCTTTCGTGTTGTAGGTAGAAGAGGGGTGTCTTAATTTGAGGCACTTGAGCGCAACATTTATGCGCTGTCCAACCGAAACAAAGACTCAGTGATCATAAGAGGAATCACATGCAGTCAAAATATTGTGTCGGAGTACTCTAGATTTTCAAATAGGGCTATTATTGGGGTTGCAGTACGTTTGCTAGCCATCAAATTACTATCTCTGTCCTAGTTTACTAGTCCCCATAGTATTTTGAGTTAAATTTGACCACATATTTAACTAGCAAAATGTTAATGCATGTCATCAAAGATTATATTGTTGGATTCATATTTGAATGTAGTTTTCAATGATATTATTTTTTCTACGCATAACATATATTTTATTAGTTAAAAGCATGGTCAAAATATAAACCAGAATAAGAAGAGGGCTAGTAAACCAGGACGGAGGTAGTAATAGCTAAGGTGGGCAACCAGAAGTACTCATATTATTGCTACACACTTAGGAATGAGTTGTCAGTAGGACGTCCTAAATCCTTTTTTTTTTGCGGGTGAGGATGTCCTAACTCTGGTTTAGAAAACTAGAGAAGTTCAATATTCCTTCCTTTTCGGTTTAGAAGGCCCATGTACAATTGAACCAATGTAATACAAATCATATATCATGAAAGTTATACCATTAGAAATTATAGGGTACTCTTACAATTAATCGGTGGAGTACGGTAGAGTAGCATCACAATCAATGAAAAAATAGTGCGCTATGACAAAATAGTGTGGCCTTGAAAATATGTTATTAGCGTGCTATTAGCGAGATATTATACAATGATTTATTTAGCGAGACATTGCTTAAAACGCTATAGTGCGCTATATTTTTTTTCACTGGTCGTAATCCATCCCTTCGAAACGCAGAGCGTATTTTTCTCTGGTTAGAACAAAACATTGGCTTACACTGTTAGCATATAATTCAGTGGTATATTTTGGCTCGATACAACAAAACCTATGGCAAAGAACTTGGACGCAATATTTTGAAGATCATTATGTTAGTACTCTACTATGTCTTAAAACCCGACAGTCAGATGGGTGGTACTACTGGATCCGGCTTGTCTGCTCCCTCCCCATGCTCCCATCCGTGCTCCCACTTTATCCTACGGCTGTCTTTTTCCCTTTTTCCTTTCTAATCTAATCATCTCCCCCCTGATTTTAAGGGGGTGGGGCCGGGTCTTATTTTGTCCAATCAAATCAAGCCACATATGCGGGAGCACGGATGGGCACATGGGGAGGGAGCAGACTAGTCTCGTCCGGTACTACTAGCACAGGATTTATCATGCCTTCAAGTTCTTGTGTACGTTATTAAAGTTGGAACAATGATTTTCAAACATGTCCTGCCTGTTTCGTTTAGTGCTACGTACCTGACTGGCTTAAAGAGGCCGGCATAGTAATTCCTGGTACGTACGTACGGACAGCATAGACGTAGTACGTGGCGCCTATTAATTCCATCTACTGCTCCATTGTTTATTAGAACACATGGTTCGTTTCACCTCTTCTTCTTTTTTTGCGAATCATGGTTCGTTTCACTTGCTTGCACAACATTGGCATTGATGGGATGAGATAGGAAGACGACGGCAGAACAAGAGCCATCAAGAGAGGCGGCGTATCATCTACCTAGGTCTACTCCTTTTGTTTAGTAAACATGAAGGAAACATCATCGGTTGGGAGATATGGATTAATGTAGGCATTAGTTGCCTGCCGATATTAAACCACATGTTGTCGTTCTACGTACGTAAAAATGATGGGGATGGAGAAGTAAGAGACTAGCTAGGGAATTCATGGATGTATTGAAATAGGCTTTCGCCTTGCTTTATAGGTAAGGCAACTATCATATTCATACAACAAGTTTAAGTATGAAAAGTAAACATACAGGACAGGAACATAAACATGCCCTACTAAAAAGAAGAAAAGGGCGCCAAGTGACTGGCAGGTCAGTGGCTAGGTGCCCGAGCAAGGCGGCATCTGCCGCAGTCAGCGGATCCATCATGCCGCCTAACCGATCTCAGTCCTGCGGCCTAACGAGCGGGCGCTAGTGCTGCAAAAATTCTAGAAATTTAAATATGAAGCCAAAGGACCGTCACAAGAAGACCTGCTCAATAACCATCTTGTTACGTGTCCAAAAGGTCCAGATCATTGCCGCAAACACTAACCAGAAGAGGCATCTATCTATCCATCTATCTATCTATCTATCTATCTATCTATCTATCTATCTATCTATCTGATTTGTCCAAGTTTCCAAGGAATGACTAATCTCGCAAACAGAACATAGCTTAGCTAGGAGTCCACCTCTTTGGAGTAAAAACGGCATTGGTGATATTGGTTGCACAACCGTCTCATATAGTCCCTCGGCCCCTTCGATGGGAATATGAGTCTGGTGCGAGAACAATGGTCGTCAATTTAACTAGCAAAACATATATAACATGTCATAGCAATGTTTGTTTAGAAACTTCATTCGACAACGAATCCTTTTTTTTTTGGACCGGGGTTACCACTTTCCATTACCATGATATAACGTAAATACATCAGTTCTGCAGAACAAAGGGTGTAGGAAAGAAGGGAAAGCGAGTTCGAGGACTGCTAGGAAACCCACATTTTTTAAAGTATACATTGTTTGGCAAAAAAACACATTTTTCGCTAATCAAATCAAACACCTAAAAAGGCAGGGAGTAATAGGACCAGCTTGGGAGGATCAGTTGGGAGATGAATGAATGGCCGGCCGGCCGGCCGCACGTTGGTAGATGATGATGCAGTGTCCTGTACGTACTCCTGTGTGGCGATGTTGGAAAACTTGCTCCATTGGATATTTGGTTGGCATTGATTCCGGTGCGTGGACGTCTTTTTCCAATGGTGGGCGTGGGCGTGGACGTTTTGCTACAACAGCTGGTCCATGGCATTGCAGTTGGTTCCGCCCGCCTTCATTATCATTGTCCTATGCCGACCTCTTGAAGTCTGGCTCCGGGCAATTTGGCACACACGTACACTAGTTCGGCTCCAATCTACCGGGAGACCAACAGAGCGAATGGCCTAAACACGGTCTTAAAGAAAATATTGCTAGGTCCCTTATATACATTGAATTTTAGAGGACAAGCTATAGTGCAAGATAAGTACTGTACGATATTATTATTATTATTATTTGATTCACTAGATTCCTTCTACAGTTAAAACAGTGTACAATTTTATAGTAGCAAATAGAACGACGTGTCATTCAGTATGTTAGCGCGCATATGCTACCAGGCAAATATAATCTTCTACACAAAGGCCATCTTTCTTCTAACTTTCTTCTCAATTCTATGTTAGCACGCATATGCTACCAGGATGCTGCCGGTAATAATCCTCCTCAGCACTAAACCAGCTACTTTGAGTTGTTTCCCGGGCTATGTTCTTCAGTATGTTAGCAAGCGTCTTGGAAATTACCTCATATGATACATTACAAAGGCTTATAGGTATGAATAAGTCACAGCTAGTCTCTAGATTCTACTCCCTCCAGTCTAAATATAAGTCTTTCTAGAGATTCCAATATGAACTATATACGGATGTATATAGACGAGTTTAAAGTGTAGATTCATTCATTCTGCTCTGTATGTAGTTCATATTGAAATCTTCAGAAAGACTTATATTTAGAAACAGAGGGAGTATTTCAAGAATCACAACAGTAGTACTCATGTCCCAATCATTAGGAAACATGTGTCATTAACCGCTTGTGACACCTCTTTAGTAAGCCCATCCCAATTATGTGCCAAAACCATTTACGAAAATAGCATGAGGGGCATCGGGGCGAAGGAGCCTTAAAATCCCCTATACCGAATAATGCTTTTTTTTAAACCCTTCAGGGAGAAAGGATCCAACAACATATCATTCACATGTTGTGTAAACCAAGGAATATCACTTTGCTCAATACCTCCAGACGTTCAGTTTGCCCACCAGAAAAGAGAACTGAGAAGTAATCCTTAGCATGATTCGAACGCAAATGTCCCCTCTATCCAATTTCAGTTTATCCTGCCTCGTTGGGCCTAGATGAGTTCCACCTACTCCCACATGTTCTCCAAGATTAGTTGAATTTCTTTCTAATGCTTCATTGGACATGCAGCCACACATGGGATCTTCAACCTCTAGCTATAGTTCTCAAATCCTCTTTCCCGGGCCGGGGTTTTCAAAATTGGCATGCCCCAATCATGCAAAGGATGCATGAACCTCGGCAAAGCGGGCTGCAAAACATGGCGCTGATGCAGCCACACAAGCTTTCTCCCGGGCAGTCTTAACCATTTCTTCTACGGCTTCTTCACATAACCATCTCGGCTTGAATCTCTTTGTACCATTGCCCTTCATTAACACCAAACCGTAGTAACATTCGGTGTCTATAAAAAACCGGTGGGTAGTCAGGTTTGGTAAACCGTAAACTACTCACTGGTCAACAGCCTTTTGAAGCATATATAGAGCCCCACCACGTATTACAAACTCCTCACTCCAACCACTCTCAGATCCTCTTTTGATCAGAATGACACCTCTTTTGATTTGAGCAATTAGCTTTAGATCCTGTTTGTTTGGGCTTTTGCTTCTGCTTTTGCAGCTTTTTCACTTCAGCAAAAATGCCAAAAAAGCTCCTAATAGCTGCTTTTTTTAGATGGAACACTCGTATTCCATTAAGACACGGCTAAACCGCCGGTTACAGCACGGGTTACATCATCAGGATAGTTGACACGGCTAAACCGCCGGTTACAGCACGGGTTACATCATCAGGATAGTTAGAGAACCACTGGTTAGACTCTCCTGCAACTAAACCCGCACCAATAGCAGCCAGCACATGCGCTGGCTTGTTACAAACACGTGACATGTGTAGAACCATAGCCTGGATAAATTGTGTGACAAGATTCACCTTAAGCTCTTTGAACATTTGGCCAAGGGAAGACAGGTCGTACATATCCGATGACACAGCTTGTTGTAGCACTACACAATCAGTCTCAAACTGTACTCTTTCCACTCCCATTTGAACAGCCCAGTTAACAGCAGTGCAAAGGGCCACTGTCTCAGAGTGTAAAGCATTGGAAATTGATTGGGATGAGCCCGCTGCAGCAAAAAGGGCTTCATGGGAGGCATCTATGCATATTAATCCCCATCCACTGTATCCATTGTGTTCTGAAAAAGCTCCATCAATATTAATTTTAACAAAATCTGACGGTGGTGGCTTCCAAGAACTATGGATGCTCGATTGAGAAACTGGCTTCTTGTTCAGGAACTCATTCCACTCATTCACATGAAAACGAACAGCATATTGAACTCATTCCACTCATTCACACGAAAACTCCTAATAGCTGCTTTTGGCTTATAGAATCGTATAACAATATTTATTCATAAGCCAAAAGCCAAAGAAAAAATCCCCTGTTTAGGAGCTTTTGTGGCTTTTTCGCCAGTGGAAAAGCTATAAAACCATAAGCAAGAGCCCAAACAAACAGAGCCTACTAAGGTTGCTATTGAAACAATATCAATGAGATCTATTTGTTTTCATCACCTGGCAGCCATCTAGGAATTATTTTTACTGGAAACTTGTTCTGCTGATCATCCTTACTTATCTGAGATAAATGGCAGGTGCTACCTCTGTACACACACTAATATAAGACGCTTTTGCAGTTCAAACGTCTTACATTAGTTTACAGAGGGAGTAGTATAGAAGGGTTTGGAGAATATAATAAATGAACTGTGAAACTCTTGCTTCCATAAATTTAGACTAGCCTTTACAGTGTTGTAATTTCCAGATGGAACCAGTGCCTTCACATCTACATGCACATGCTGAAATTACTTTACAAACAATTTTACAGTGCTACACACATTTACATTTGTGAACACAGGGAATAGAAGAGAACATGACATGCTCACATCATACAGAAACAGACCTCCCAACAGAGACATTCAGCTTTAGGTTAGTAGAACTGCAGAAATCATATGGGACCAAAAGGAAAGCTTTTGTAGGGTGCAGACCTGCCCACTCCTTTGCATTTGTGACAGAGGCCTTGAGTTGCAGACAGTTTTCAGGGTTTCTCGTACTGGCCGCTTCAATTTCGTAGGAGAACTTCCAGTTCAAATCACCTGTCCTGAGGCAAACCACGGAAAAGGCATGCCCAAAGGGTGTCATGTTCTTGTTCAGGAGCAAGAAAAGGTGATCGTCCTCTCCGAGAAGAACAAGGAAAGGCAGGGACGCCTCCAAATTCACTTCAAATGACTGGCCGTAAGCAAAGTGCAAGAAATCGGCACTGTGGTGGTCGACGAGGAAGTGGCCTGACCAACATCCTGTAAAGCCTCTGTATCCACATCCAGGAATAGGGCACATCAAAGGAGCAAAGAGGCAAGATTCTTCATGACTGTTTCTTTGCGTGTAGCTGACCAACTCGCAACAGCCCCACTTGGCATATGCACATGAGGACTTGATTGACTCAACAATCTTCTCCAGTGCAATGTTCCGTGCAAAGATCGCATCATGAGAACAAACATGACACTTGTTGCTGAGCCTGGACCAGCAGGACAAGCATGCTACATGGCCATTTTGGCACTGGAAAATACACAAAACAAGCTGTGATCATGCAATAGATATCTTGCCTCTTATAACAAAAGGTTAGTCTTCTCGAAAGAAGTGTGTCCACTCTGCCTTTGCAGCTTAATTCGTGCCTTAAATATACGCCAACAAATTATATGGATCACATGGTTTTTAGCTTTCTGAAGTTGACTGTATATGTTCAGAAGAGTAAACTGTAAGCGCATCAGTATGTGTTTAGAACCAGCCATGGAATAGTTTTTGCTCAGGATTTCTATCAGATGCCCTTGGGCAGTGATGCTCCATGATGGTTTTAGCAGCATAGCGCTATCTAGCAGTACAGATGAGTCCTCTGTGTGCTTATAAGCTGTGGTGTTCCATCTAAACTGATACAGTTTACGAGGTTTGTCTCTTCGTTAGTAACTTATCAACTGAAACATGTAATGACCTTCAGAACAAACCCAGGTACCTATAATGGAGGAAAAGGCACCGCTCGGCAAGGAAGCAATTCAGAGAGAAACAATAGACCGTGAGGCTTAAACTACTCCCTCCATTCCATAATGTAAGATGTTATTACAACCAATATGTGAGTATATTGGATATAATAACGTCTTACATTATGGGACGGAGGGAGTATATAGAGCAGTGTGATCTTTGTTTGTTATTTGCTTGACAGTTTTACACTGGCCACCTTACTTAAGAGGTCCTAGAACCTAAAAGATAGAAACTGCTTCAGAAGGAAATGAAACAGAGCAGCTAACCAAAGGGAAATCAGAATGAAACAGAGCAACTAACCAAAGGGAAAGCAGAGTACCCTGAATCCCAAAATTAGTTCTCCTTCCATATGCAGAGATCTGTGTCTGGGTATGGCCAAGACAAATTAGGAACACGACGCTGTGTGGGTGTCAGATCAGTTCAACTGATTCAGTTGACAGGAGTAATGGGGACATTGACTCAAGAATGCATTCAAAAAACTGGTTTGTGGTCCGGTGTCCTGAGGAACAGTAGATGATAGTAATTGTGCAGTTACCCAACTGCTTCGCTGCCTATCATCATCTCTTATCCCCTCTTGCCATGGCTATGGATTTTCTCAATTAGCTCAACAGAAGCGATGCCAGCTTAATTAGCGAATTCCAATCGATAATTAGGCAGCAGCAGCAGCAGCAGCATGGATAATCTGGCAGAGCAACATCCTTCCTCCGGTCAATTTTAATTTACCTGGTAGAGGGGAGGGCAGAGGGGCTCGAAGCAGATGGAGCAGTCCAGCAGGTCCGGGTCGATCCGCATGCTGATCCCCACCGCGTCGCCATCCCCGCCGGCGCCGACCCTCCCCACCTCCCGACCGCACCCCGCCACCGCCCTCTCCTCCCGCTCGCCGCCCGCGACCTCCAGTCTCCGGGCCTCGGGGGGCGGCCCTCCACCAGCCGCCCCGTCGTCAGGGGCAGGGCTTCCGTCCCGCTTCCTCTTGTCGGACCCGGCGGCAGCGGCGGTGGCGGGAGGAGGGTCTTCGTCGGCGTCGGCGTCGGCGAAGGAGAACTTGGCCATGGAAGGAAAATGGAGTAACCAACCGTGTTTCTTTTTGGATTTTCTTTTTTCCTTCGTCTTTGGGGGTCTCCTGTCCTGTGTTCGTTCTACAGCAGCGACGGGTGACTTGCCACCACCGTGTCACTGACTCGTGGGGTCCAGGGCCACGTGTCAATAGCACAAACTGTGTTGAAGTGCAAGCAAAGATACTTTGATTGAGGTTCTTGAGGACACATCTCCATTCTTCATTCTTTCTCGAGTGATGAAAATCTAGTGGTCAATCGATTTTCGTCTCACATTCTTTCTCCTTCCTCTTCATGAGCAAACCAATGGCCGACGGTGCTTGCCCTGGTATTCCCTCTAAGCCTCTCTGAGGGAGTCCTGGATTAGAGGGTGTTCGGGTAGCCGGACTATACCTTCAGCCGAACTCCAGGACTATGAAGATACAAGATTGAAGACTCCGTCCCGTGTTCGGATGGGACTTTCCTTGACGTGGAAGGCAAGCTTGGCGATGTGGATATTCAAGATCTTCTACCATTGTAACCGACTTTGTATAACCCTAACCCTCTCCGGTGTCTATATAAACTGGAGGGTTTTAATCCATAGAACAACTTCATCATACAACAATCATACCATAGGCTAGCTTTTAGGGTTTAGCCTCCTTGATCTCGTGGTAGATCTACTCTTGTACTACCCATATCATCAATATTAATCAAGCAGGACGTAGGGTTTTACCTCCATCAAGAGGGCCCGAACCTGGATAAAACATTGTGTCCCTCGTCTCCTGTTACCATCCGGCATAGACACACAGTTCGGGACCCCCTACCCGAGATCTGCCGGTTTTGGCACCGACATTGATGCTTTCATTGAGAGTTCCTCTGTGTCGTCGCTTTCAGGCCCGATGGCTTCTTCGATCATCAACCACGATGCAGTCCAGGGTGAGACTTTTCTCCCCGGACAGATCTTCGTCTTCGGCGGCTTCGCACTGCGGGCCAACTCGCTTGGTCACCTTGAGCAGATCGAAAGTTACGCCCCTGGCCATCAGGTCAGGTTTGGAAGCCTAAACTACACGGCTGACATCCGCGGGGACTTGATCTTCGACGGATTCGAGCCACAGCCAAGCGTGCCGCACTGTCTCGATGGGCATGATATAGCTCTGCCGCCGAACAGCGCCTTGGAGGCCGCACACGCATCGGTTCCGACCATTGATTCGGAGCCCACTGCGCCAATCGAGGATCGGCGGTTGGACGCTGCCTCAGGGGCTGCAATCTCATAGGCGATCGAGCCGAACTCCAGCCCCGCACTCCGCATGGCCCGTGACTCCGAGGAGCCGGATTCCTCTCCAAACTCCGCGCCCCCCGCGCCCCCCTGATCGAATCCGATTGGGCGCCGATAATCGAGTTCACCGCTGCAGACATCTTTCAGCACTCGCCCTTCGGCGACATCCTGAATTCTCTAAAGTCTCTCTCTTTATCGGGAGAGCCCTGGCCGGACTACGGTCAGCAAGGTTGGGATACGGACGATGAAGAAATTCAAAACCCACCCACCACCCACTTCGTAGCCACTGTCGACGACTTAACCGACATGCTTGACTTCGACTCCGAAGACATCGACGGCATGGACGACGATGCAGGAGACGAACAAGAACCAGCACCTGTAGGGCGTTGGAATGCCACCTCGTCATATGACATATATATGATGGACACTCCAAAGGATGGAGATGGCGATGGAACAGCGGTGGATGATACCTCTAAGAAACAGCCCAAGCGCCGGCGTCAGCGGCGCCGCTCTAAATCCCGCCAAAGCAAAAACGGTGATTCCGGCACGGGAGATAATACTACTCCGGATAGCGCCAAAGAACACCCCCTCCAGCAAAATTCGGCACAGGAGGACAGAGAAGCCAACCCTCACGAGAGGGCGGCGGACCAAGAGGTTGAGGACGATAATTATACGCCTCCCTCCGAAGACGAGGCAAGCCTCGACGACGACGAGTTCGTCGTGCCAGAGGATCTCGCCGAACAAGAGCGTTTTAAACGCAGGCTCATGGCCACAACAAGCAGCCTCAAGAAAAAGCGGCAACAGCTTAGAGCTGATCAGAATTTGCTAGCTGATAGATGGACTGAAGTCCTTGCGGCCGAAGAGTATGAACTCGAACGCCCCTCCAAGAGTTACCCAAAGCGCAGGCTGCTACCCCGACTAGAGGAGGAAGCACCTACATCACCAGCGCATGACATGGCCGACCGGCCACCTCGTGGCCGCGACAGAGAGGCCTCTTAGCCCTCCACTCAAGCCATGCCCCGTCACCGCGTCAAGCATACTAAGGCACGGGAAAATGTGCCCGACCTGCGTGACATCCTGGAGGACAAGGCAAGGAAAACAAGATCGATCTACGGATCACGCAGGCGCCCCACAGCACGTGACGGTGATCGTCACTCCGGACGCAATGAATCCGGCCGGGCCGAACTCAACAGACAAAGCTCCTTCGAGCTGCGTCGTGATATAGCCCAATACAGAGGCGCCGCACACCCACTATGCTTCACAGATGAAGTAATGGATCATAAAATCCCTGAGGGCTTCAATCCCGTAAACATCGAATCGTACGATGGCACAACAGATCCTGCGGTATGGATCGAGGATTATCTCCTTCATATCCACATGGCCCGCAGCGATGATCTACACGCCATCAAATACCTCCCACTCAAACTTAAGGGACCGGCCCGGCATTGGCTTAACAGCTTGCCAGCAAACTCAATCGGTTCTTGGGAGGACCTGGAAGCCGCATTCCTTGACAACTTCCAGGGCACTTATGTGCGACCACCGGATGCTGATGACCTAAGCCACATAATTCAGCAGCCAGAAGAATCGGCCAGGCAATTCTGGACACGGTTCCTAACAAAGAAAAACCAGATAGTCGACATTCCGGACGTAGAGGCCTTAGCGGCCTTCAAGCATAATATCTGTGACGAGTGGCTGGCCCGGCACCTAGGACAGGAAAAGCCGAAATCTATGGCAGCCCTCACGACACTCATGACCCGCTTTTGCGCGGGAGAAGACAGCTGGCTAGCTCGTAGTAACAACTTAACCAAGAACACTGGTAATTCTAATACCAATGAAAAAAGTGACAGGTCGCGTCGGAACAAACAAAAGCGTCACGTTAACAGCGACAACAACGAGGATACGGCAGTTAATGCCAGATTCCGAGGCTACAAATCCGGTCAACGGAAACAACCATTCAAAAGAAAAACTCAGGGCCCGTCCAGTTTGGACCGAATACTCGACCGCTTGTGCCAGATACATGGCACCCCCGAAAAGCCAGCCAATCACACCAACAGGGATTGTTGGGTGTTCAAGCAGGCAGGCAAGTTAAGAGCCGAAAACAAAGACAAGGAGCTGCATAGCGACGACGAGGAGGAGCCCAGGCCGCCGAACAACAGTGGACAGAAGGGATTTCCCCCGCAAGTGCGGATGGTGAACATGATATACGCAACCCACATCCCCAAGAGGGAGCGGAAGCGTGCGTTACGGGACGTATATGCGATGGAGCCGGTCGCCCCAAAGATCAACCCATGGTCCTCCTGCCCGATCACCTTTGATCGAAGGGACCACCCCACTAGCATCCATCACGGCAGCTTCGCCGCATTGGTTCTAGACCCAATCATTAACGGATTTCATCTCACAAGAGTCCTCATGGACGGCGGCAGCAGTCTGAACCTGCTTTACCAGGATACAGTGCGAAAGATGGGCATAGATCCCTCGAGGATCAAGCCCACCAAAACGACCTTTAAAGGCGTCATACCAGGTGTAGAAGCCAACTGTACAGGCTCAGTTACACTGGAAGTGGTCTTTGGATCTCTGGATAACTTCCGAAGCGAGGAGTCAATCTTCGACATAGTCCCGTTCCGTAGTGGCTATCACGCACTGCTCGGGCGAACCGCATTCGCAAAATTCAATGCGGTACCGTACTATGCATACCTCAAGCTCAAGATGCCAGGCCCTAGAGTAGTAATCACGGTCAATGGGAACACTGAGCGCTCCCTTCGAACGGAGGAGCACATGGCAGCGCTCACAGCAGAAGTACAAAGCAGCCTCTCTAGGCAGTTCTCCAGTTTGGCCTTCAAAAAGCCGGACACTGTCAAGCGCGCTCGGAGTACCCTACAACAAGACCGCCTGGCACATTTCGAGCTAGCATAGCAATGCGGCCCCAACCCTAGCCCTCACGATATAACGAAACCAGCGCTTCGCGTACACAACTACGCTCTTGAAATACCATGGGCATAGGGCAAGGGGCACTATCACGGCACGCCCGAAATACGGCTTAAACCGCACCAGGGGCTGCCGGATTCCTTCTTTTTTTCTCTTACTCTCAGGACTCCATACTTCGGACGACCCGTTCGGCAATTCAACTGCCGCACAAACGATACAAGATCCAGGGAAGCAGACAAGCCACGCCGCATTATGGAACTCCCAGGGGCTTCAGTACCCATCAATATGGCGTGAGAAGTCCGTCCACTTTCACAAGTGCGGCACCCCAAACTTATAGCACTATATGCATCGGCTCCGAATCATGATTTGGGTCAATAGTTGGGTTTGCCCGGCTCCTATGTTTTGGTGCCTTACGTTCCGCTATATCGGCTAAGGTAGCACTAGGAGAACCACTGCGATTGTGCCCCAGTTGAGCTGGGCCGAGCACCTCAGTGGAGAAAGCTAAAACTGACTGTCATGATGAGGCGAGAGACCGGTCGCTGTTCGAGAGGTTTTTCGAGTCCTTAAAGGCTTATGCCGCTTCGAGCGAGGAACCGGCTTTGTCCGGCCAAGGCGTGGATAGCGCCCCGAACTCGGTCTTCCGAATACTAGGAGCTTCGCCAAAATTTAAAATTATAGAGTTCTATGGCTAAGTGAGAGTGTTCAAGCATTATAGTCCGATTGCCTTGTTTGTTGTGCTGACCGCCACCCTCGACGGACCCAATCATGGGAAAAAGAGTGCTCAGGTTTATCCCGAACACCCCAGCACTAGTGGCATG